ACTGTAGGAACTAGAAGAAACACATTTTTGACTGGAGGCGGGCTTTAAACTCACACTAACCGTCTTAACAACATCCAGCAGGGTTAGGGTTAGGAGAGGTGACTATGTTGCCCAAAGCAACACTGCAGGGCATTATTTGTTATGATTTTAGGTCATGCTGAATCATTATGAGCACTCTCTCTGTAAAACGTCAGCATCAGTTTTGTTGGTATATTATATATTTTCCATATTTGGGGGCAGCAGTAGCTCAGTCTGTGGGGTCTTGACAGGCGTCAGTTCCACCTCCTGTGCACTGCCGATGTGCCCTTGAGCAAGGCACCGAACCCCTAACTGCTTGCGGAGCGGCCCTACGTGGCAGCTAATCCCTCCACCATCTCTCCACATTTGCATGTCTGTAAGCCCTGATTGTACTTTGTGTGGAAAGTAAGAGTGAAAAAAGAATGTCCCCATTGGGGATTAATAAAGTGTATCTTCCTCTTCTTCATCATCTTCCTATTTCAGTGAAAAACACTATTCATACATTCAGACAGGAAATCAGTAATGTCTCCAGTTAGAGAACATTTAACTACATGCAATTACTACAAAAACTGAGTATTATCTGTATTCTTTGTTCATTTGTTGAAATATGAGATTTGTGATATGAGATATTGGTTTTCAGCTTAATAGCAAACTACTTCTGTGTTTTTGTGTCTTTACGAACCTGTGATATGATGAAAGGTCAATAAACTAAACTAAATGAGCAACTTGTGTCTTTTCTGACAGTATTTTAGAAGGGATGCTCTCAGGTTCAGTCTGTTTCACTCTAACAGTGCCCTGCAGATATCCCTTCACCAAGAGGTTTAGGTTCAATCTCTGCGACCACTAATCTGTGGGCAACAGTGTCACTTCCTGTTCACACATTGTGTGCTGCTATACAATTATAGCTGAATGGCTAAGTTGCATAACAGCACAGATGCTCAAATAAAGGAAGTTGTAAGCCTCCCTGAAAACACAGAGTGGCAAAGAGAGTCAGTTCCATCTTTTTGTGATCATTGTATCACATTTTGGTAAAACAGGGAATCCATGCACACACAAGGACAAAGACAAAGGCAAGAAAAATGGAGGTTAATCGAACACACAGCAGCACTAATAGAATTCCTCCAAACACCTAGAATAATGCCTCTGAGTAGGAGAAGATGAGCCCGTTTCATGAGGTGCTTTGCCACTAAAACCACTGCAGTACAACACAGCCAGTAATACCCATAATCACAACAAAGAACACTTTGCTGGATATCACTGCAGCCTTTTATGTCAGCTAGCTGGGCATCTATGTTCTCTATGCCTCGTCTTATTGTACCCAAGGAGCCAGTTAGCTATTACTCCTGCTTTCCCACCAGCCACAGCTACTGTATCTCCTGTGTTTTCATCTACTTCATGTGTCTTTTTGAAGAGAACTTTTAAACAGCACTAGTGGCCTGTTTGATCTTGCTTTTCTAACACTTCTGTACTCTCGCCGCAGTCAGAGAGACACTGTCAGGTATAGGTTTACTTTAACACTCAGACATCTTATTTTATTGCTTATTTCAAACCACAGTGAAGACAGTGGACCAGGGTCAGCGTCACTACACGGAGCCTTCAGTTCAACATGTACCAGCAAGATCACAATCAGACAAGCAGGACTAACAGGAAGGAACAGGGAGCTCACAGCTGGTGATTCACACTTTAAAAAGAAGATGTACATGACAATGATGTTGAAAGCAGTGATTTGCTATACAGAAGCAAGTAACTGAATGACTAACTGTGGTTTCACTCTGTGAGTAACATCATCAGCAAGGCAGTGGGAGTCCTCTCTGTTCTGACAGAGCTGAGCAAACAGGGATTCTCAGCTGGTGCAGATATGGTTTCTGTGTGTCTTTATTTCACTCACCACCAATGTGCTTTGTTTTGTGAATGATATACTCCCGGATTTATTATAGCAAATAAAAAAATGCCAAAATGTTACCAAAGTTCTCTGTCATGCTTATATAATTGACTTCAATTACACTAACTTATACATATGCATCCAGACATTTGCCAACAAACATGTGACTGCAAATTTTTAAAAAAATGAAATTAACAAGAGAAATTACTAAAATGGCACGGAAAACCAAGGGTGTAATTTTAACTGGGAGTGGGTGGGATAACGCCCCACACACTTATTGAAAATCCATGTTGTTGCCGTTTGTTCACAGCTCCAAGACCAAAAGTATGCGCTTTCGCCCTGGGTTACGCCTCCCAGGCTACTTACAGACCACACCCCGTCTGATGATGCAGCATGATACTAAAACTCTACTCAGGGTTAAAAAAAGCTCTCCTAGGCGCCCGGTTAGCTCAGTCGGTAGAGCTGCTGACCCATGTCCGGAGTTGCTGCAGCAGCCCAGGGCTCGAATCCAAGCAATAAAAGGCCCAAAAAAATGACTTAAAAAAAAAGAAGAAGCCCTCCTGTGAGTGTTTTTGGAGAAAAAAAAATGAATTTGTATTTTGCTTTACAGCTGACAACGTACATTTGTAATGAAAAAGCACAAGAACAAGCATACTGTTTTAATCTTATGTTATTGTGGTTTCTATTAAAGATATGGATACAACTCCAAAGACAGTGTAACAGTACACACTTTTCCACCAATTAGCCGTCAGCTAACTTTCACCTAAGTTTTTCACTGAATATACCTGAATAGAAGTTCAATAAAAAGGTAAAAAATGGATTTAAGCACAACCACTGCTTGCTTCTCTCTGTAAAAATCATCCTTTGTGGATTAAATATCAAATCATTTGACTTTTTTTAATGAAATATATTAACATGAAGGTAGAAATGCCCTAAAATTGTGTAATATGAATAGATGCAATGGTATGGTAATTGATAGTTATCACAGCTCTTATAATGACATTGCTTTGCACTAGCTAACTGACGGACTTTTCTTTAAGATGGATCATATAGTGAATATAAAATCATCACTTGCAGGGATAACTTTTGAAATAACAAACTCAAAGAGCATGTCTGAGCTGAGTTTTAAAAAGTTTTCTTTTGATGAAACTAGACGGCCTTCCGGTATCAGCTCCAGTACAGACAGACACCCTGAGGAGATGGCTCGGCTGTCTGGCTCCGCGTGGTCTTACTCTCCACTGGGCTCTCCCTGAGTCATTTTTACATTAAAGACATCAGTGTGTCAGACCATACATTAATCTTACTAGATGTTTTTGTCAACCCTACCTACTGCTTCTGTCTCGCCCATCCGTCAAATCAACTCTACTACCAACAGTTTGTTTTTCCTGGGATTTAAGAGTAGCTTTGTTACTGATGTTCCTCTTACTTCTGACCTTAGCAACAATATTACAACAAGTTTACCTCAAATAAAACGGAGATATTGATGATATTGATGGTTCGCCGCTGCCTTGATCGGTTTTATCGTGACACTTCGGATTCAAACTAACCCTTTAAAACACCAAAGTCACACAATAGCACAAACAAATGAACCTACTGAGGCAGTGGTGGGCCAGCAACTCTCAAGGTCTGCGAGGTAAAATTACTGCTTTTGTCAAAGGAGTCTGGTGGCTTTGAAAAGAGCGTAGATGCGTACTTGCTTCAGTTTCCCATAGGAAAGTGCTGTGTGACGGCAATATAAAGCAGTGAAAATATTCTAAATATAGTGAGCACTTAAACTGATATTGATTTTTAGCCCTTTTTTTTAGGAGTTGCAGCCGTTGCTATAAGTAAAAGACTAAATGTAAGTACCTCACACAACCCCACTTCAACAAACCCAACTATCCTCTTAAAACTAGGATAAAATGCAATTACAACTGTACAACTGCTACTATATTTCTGATCCAGGTTCTTGCGGAGTAGAACCACGGTAACTGACTACAACAGCAGACAGCTGCAGCCGAATCATCAGACGTGAAATATGAGGAATAACAGTAGTGCCTGTGCACACTAATTACACCCAGCTAGCACTCAGATAATGGCTGCTTGTGCCTGGAGAGTTAGACACTGAGACAGCTCACATCCATCATTTAGAGGCTCCAACCTGTTCTGAAATTCTCGCTGACTGTTATAGCGGTGAAAGCGTCTGGATGCTGAGATGGACACGAGTAAGATAAAAGACACTAGACAAACAGAGGTGTTATATAAATCCTTGTCTCGCCAACTTTCAGCTTTTTAACAACTGAAAGGAACCTTTCCACTGATGATGGTGCAGTTTTATCATCTTGTGACTTTTCAAGAGGACTTCATGGACTCAATATGTCAGAGTTAAAGCTGATAAGACTAGTGAAATTATCGATTAGTTGAAAAAGTGATCTATTTGGATAATCAATTAGTTGTTTAAGTTAGTTTTTGGCTGAAGTTCTACCTTCACAATTGAAACTGAAGTTTTGCTACTTCTCTTTAGTCTCTTATGACAGTAAAATGAATATCTTAGTGCTATTCACTAGTTTCTGAGTCAATATATTAAACAATAATCAGATTAATAATAATGAACATAATTGCTAGTTAAAAGTTAAAAACTGTATGTTAACAAGTATTTAACATACTGTACTCAAATGTTCAAAGTTTGTTTCTCACTAATAAGGCCTACTTCCTAAGTAACACGTTGGTACGCTGCAGCATCAACATTTGGCACGCGCATAAACAGGAAAGACTTCTTCTAACAGCCAGTGAGAAACAAACCACAGGCGCTCTCAGGGGGTTTCAGTCCTGATGAGGAGTCAGAGTACAGCACAAGGTGTGGCTCTTACCCCTAATACCGCCATGCGTCGACTGTGGATGGTGCAGCGGCCACGTCTGTTCCTGCGGGTGTGCGGCCGACAGTGTTAACTCCTCATCATGGAGAGCCTCTCATTGGAGCCTGTAACAGAGGAAGCAGCGAGCGTTAGGAAGATTCATTCTGAAAGCTCATTGATGTCGTTCCAATCAGAATGTTGGGGCTTGGCAAGATCCAAAAATAGTATTCTTGCAGAATAATGTCTAGAATCCGTTCAGCAGAGTTAAACATTCTGGGAAAGACGCTTATTTGCCTTCTTACCCTAAATATGAAACCTCTAGCAGCTGCTTAGCTTAGCTTAGCATAAAGCCTGGTTCAGCGTACAATCCGCCAACCAGCACCTCCAAGTTAAAATACGTTAGATCTAGTTTGTTTGATCAGTACAAAAATGACAATATGTCGGTTTACAAGAGTTCTATGCTCTATGCTATTACTTGGCTAGGAGCAGTTTCCAAATACAATTGATGTTTTTACAGTTTTTGTAGAAGAAGAGTAATTATATGCACATCACTTAGGTGCAAGGCAATCAGAAAACACAGTTTACAGTTTCTGTACAAATTAAATTAAAACAAGATGTAGTACTTAAATCTGTCCAGGCTGGTTGTTTCACCCCCATTTCCAGTCCATTGTTCATATTTTCCATAGAGACATGAGGTGAAAACACTTCTAATCTCTCAACAAGGAAGTAAACAAGCATATTTCATATTTATACTCGAACAATTCCTTTCATTAAAAGCTCTAAATTTGGTTTTCTGAGCAACCAAAGAAAAGAAAGCTAGTTAGTCAAACTGCAATGGAAACACTTCACCGTACCACCCACACTGTTCAGACTGACAAGCCAAATACCACAGCGATGAGTGCTTGGCAGAGATCAAACAGAACGTATTACCACTCCACCACACAAGTTTAATACTGTACACTGTTCCTGAAAGTTGCAGTTGTCCTCCACAAAGGTCAACAGATTTCTGTCCTCCAGCCAGGCAGCAGTGACTAGTCCTGCCATCACTGTGCGTGATTCATTGCTTAATTGTGGAGTCCGACCACTCCAGTCACGATGGGAGAGGAAAAGCCGGGCAAACACCCACCACCGCTTGATCCTCCTCCAAACACACGTACACAGTTTGAAAAAAAATAAAACAGCCTTTAAAGTCTCCGGTGACAACGGTAAGTCTGCCAGCCCGCCTCTGTCCGCTCATCAGACCGTGAAATTAGCCCAGTTAGTCGACAGAGATGAAATGTGGCGGGGGGCTGCTGAGGACACACACTGTACCGCTGCCTATTAGACAGCCGTCACGCACCAATGAGCCTCACACAGATGTTATCGTCACCTGACGCCCGGCGACTCCTCTGTGATGTAATGTTTTATTTGTGGGGTTGACCTGGGGTCATGTTCACACGGTGCACGTCTGAGGCACTTTACTCATATATTACAAAGTAAATCACAAGCTGGAATCACTGAACATCTGGAATTATCTAAAAGAATTCATCAGTTCACAAAGTTGTTATTAATTAATTTTCTGTCAACCGGCTGATCAAGTGATACAGTAATTGTCATAGCTCTTGTATGCTGTAGCATCAAGATGCCCCTTGAAACTGATAAAAGGCAGGGGCGTCCACATACTTTTGGCTACTTCTGAATCCCAGTATAACTCTAAATAAACCATATCTAAATGACAGTTAACATTAGTCTGCATTTCACCCGCACCTCAGAAGCCACATCTGCATTCATTATCAATATGTTGCTCTGGTTACAGAAATAAAAGCACTCATTATGTTATTTGGGCTGTGTCAAAATAAAATACCTTTAGACATTCAGACTGCAGATGTTTGCTAAAAAAGATATTTGTTCAGTCCTCTGCAGCAGTGGTGGTAGTGTCCTTGAACCACTGCTGGATGACTAGAGGGATAACACTGGAGGCAATAGATATATATATAACAAACCTCTGAGTTCAGTTCAGCACTGAGGCTGCTGCATTCAGGGTGCTTTAAGGATACCAGTTCCACTGTTAGAAAGCTGGGAACATAGATTAAACACACAGCCAACATCCACCACAATAGATGGCCCGCTTTCAACATCATATTGGAAACACTGTTATCTCTGTTAACAGTCAGTAATTAAGGACGCCCTTATAGTCAAGAGGTTAAGAGGGAAACCATTTAACTGCATCGCATCAGGTTCAGTTCTGGCCAAGGATCTTCGTTGCCTGTCATACCCCCTTCACTCCCTGTCTGTCTCAACTGTCAACAGTCCAATGAAGGCAAACCTGCCTCGTTATACCAGAACAGGATAGGTAAAGATAACTGTAACAGAGCCGCAACAATTGGTGACTAATTAATGGGTTGTCAACTATTAAATTAATCGCCAACGATATTGATAATGGATGAATCATTTCGAGTCGTTTTTTCTGAGAGAAAATGTTCAAATTCTCTGATTTCAGCTTCTCAAATGTGAACATTTTCTTTATTCCTTATGACAGTGGATGATGTATTTTGGTATTTCTTAGGAGCAACAACTAATTGAGAAACGTGATTCATCAAGAATGAAAATAACCATTAGTTGCAGCCCTAAACTGTAACGCTGTGCGACTGTAGCAGTTATCCTGAAAACTGCAAAGTGTCCATCTTATAGCTTGCAGATATACAACCACACAAATATTATCTGTTTCTTCATTTCGTCAGGAAGGGGGCAATAACGTCTGTTGTCTCTCTCGTCCTCCTGTGGATAGGTTCCTGAAATTCTGAGACAGCTTGCCAACCAGAAGCTTATTTACACTCTATATTTACATTACTTCCACGTATCTATCGCCAAGGGTCATAACA